TAGCAGCAGCAGCAGCAGTGGCAGCAGCAGTAGCAGCAGCAGCAGCAGCAGCAGCAGTAGCAGCAGCAGCAGCAGCAGCAGCAGCAAACCTGTTCATATAGCAGAATTCATCTGCTAGTGATCTGTGCCCCAGCACTAAATCGATGAATTCCGAGGGCTGTAAGTGAGTGGCTTGCTGCTGCTGCTGCTGCTGCTGCTGCTGCTGCTGCTGCGCAGTGGTATCTGCTGCAGCAGTAGAAGCCAACTGAACGAAAGACAACAAAAGTGCGGCTTCAAGTTCATATTATAGAAGAACAGCAGCAGCAACAGCAGCAGCAGCAGCAGCAGCAGGAGCAGCAGTAACAGTAGCAGCAGCAGCAGTAACAGTAGCAGCAGCAGCAGTAGCAGCAGCAGCAGTAACAGCAGCAGCAGCAGCAGCAGCAACAGCAGCAGCAGCAACAGCAGCAGCAGAAACAGCGTGTTAGCTCGCCCTTCCCGCTCTGTCGCCTCGCAGTACGCTGATGGCTTGTTCGTCTGTTCTTTGTTGCACTTGTTGTTGTTGCTGCTGCTGCTGCTGCTGCGCTGCAGCAGCAGCAGCAGCTGCTGCTGCTGCTGCTGCCCTTTTTGTCTTTGCTTTTGCAGCTTCTGCGTCCTCCAGCTGCTTCAGCAGCACACATGTAGGAGGAACGCATGTATGGGGCATGGGGTATCCCGGGGGTAGAGTGTATGAGGGTATATGCCCCCTTGCTGCTGCTGCTGCTGCTGCTGCTGGCGGTGCTGCTGCTGCTGCTGGCGGTGCTGCTGCTGCTGCTGCTGCTGCTGTTGTTTGTGTTGCTGCTGTTGTTTCTCCTGCTGCTGCTGCTGCTGCAGCACGCGAACTGGGGGCAGCCGCAGACGCATCCTGTGCAGGGACATAATTCACCCCGTACTTTCAATTCAAACTCTAGGGTTTAGGGTTTAGGGTTTAGGGTTTAGGGTTTTTAATACACCCCGCAGGCAGCAAGGGGCCTGCATGCCGTACAAGTTAAACATTACGTCGACCAGCTCAGCGCTAAGTGTTTATGCCTAAACCCTAAACCCTGAACTCTAAACCCTAAACCCTAAACCCTAAAGCCTAAGAGCTGAAGGCTAGCGGCTATTTGCTGAACCTGTAGGTGAGCAGTGCAAACCCTAACTCAACAGTAAACCCTAAACCCTAGGTCAAACCCTAAACCCTAGGTAAAACCCTAAACCCCCGATCAGCAGCACACCTCGCTAGCCCCCTCTGGGGCCCCCAAGGGGGGGGGTTTGGGGTTGTTGGTGTTTTGCATTTTGTTTCTGTGAATGTTTCTCGAGGCAAACCCTAGGTGGCAGCCATAGGGTTTATATCTGTATACCCGCAACAGGCAGAGAGGAAACGCTAAACGGCATCGCTACACATAGGTTACTAAACATTTTTCCAATATAAAATATTTAGGGTTTATGGTTTTGGATCTAGGGTTTAAGCGGTGAGGGTTTAGGGTTTAGGGTTTAGGGTTTCGGGGTTAGCGCCTCCATGCAGATCGGGCACACTTGCATGCGCAGGGTAAGAGGCTTTCTACGCAGCCCTGCTGTTGTGAAAGAGAAAAAAAAAGAGAAAAAAGAAAAATAAAATATTTTTAAATATTTATTTCAAGAAGATATTCAATGATTTCCAGTATTCTCATCGAGGTTTCAGGGTCACCTGGGGTTTCGGGTGGTCACAGGCGCGGCTGCACAGGCGGCGAAACCAGAACTTGAACTTCTGCTTTTTTTCGATATCCACGCAATTAAATAAAAAATAATAAAACTTTTTATAATTAAAAAATAAAAAGGAACAAATCTAGCACAAGATCAGCCGATTTCGTTCATGAATTCCCGAGGAAATTCAACTTTTCTTGTTTTGAGCGATCTACAGGGTTTAGGGTTTAGGGTTTAGGGTTTACGCCAAGAACGTGAGACTCTGGGTGTTTATCTCTGGCGATTGTTTAACTCTATAACTTCATTCATAAATTAAATTAAGATATTCGGCTCAACGATCTTATAAAAAAGAAGACAACGCCACAAACAGCAGAAAGCAACAAACCCTGAAGCAGCAGCAAAGGGGAAACTGCAGCCCCCAGACCCACCACCAAACCCTAAACCCTAAACCCTAAACCCTAAACCCTCGCATTTCATCCCCCTCCTATTATTCCTCGCTCCGCCCGACGACGCGAACAACAAACTCGAAATGCAACCGAAATTGATGGCATTTGAAAATATGGGATTCTTAAGATTAGCTAGCCAGCTAGCTAGCTAGCCAGCTAGCTAGCTAGCTAGCTAGCTAGTGCAGGCATGTAAAAAAGAACTAGCATGGGGGCTGCATCGCAGTGGAGCGGCTGGAGAGTCTTTGTCTCAGCTATGTGAGTCTACATAGGAGTATAGCTAGCTGGCGCTGCGGCTGGTGATCAACCTAGCTAGCTAGCTAGCTAGCTAGCTAGCTAGCTAGCTGCTGTGCAGCCTTCGCCTGCTGCCTGCACTGCGAACGCCAGCAAGCGAAGCAGGCTACCCCCTCCAGCAGCAGCAGAGCCACCAGAACGCATGCAGCCCCAAACAGCGCCGCCGTGCTGAAGGTCTCTCTCACTCTCAGGTTGTTTGCCTCCACCCAAGACCTGAGCATCGCACATACAATACCACAAACCCTAAACCCTAAACCCTAAACCCTAAACCCTAGCGAAAAATCCTGAAAAACAAACCCTCAATCATCCCTAGACCCTAACAAGAAACCCCACTACCTACCCCCTAAACCCTAAACCCTAAACCCTAAACCCTAGATGCCAGCCGCTGTACGCAGGCTGACCCTAAACCCTCGTGTGGAAGCCCTAGAAGAGGGTTTGTGTGTATGCTTATGCTTATGCAAGCGGCGCTAAACCCTCGAGGGTTTTGAGGGTTTTGAGGGTTTTGAGGGTTTTGGGGTGTATAGACACCTGCAGAAATCATAGTGAGGAAACCCTGGCTTGTCTAGGCCCGCCTGCAGCAGCAGCCGCGAGCAGCTGACGGCGTCATCGAGGGGGAGTTCTCCTGCGGCAACACAAACCCTAAACCCTAAACCCTAAAAACCTAAACCCTAAAAAAAAGTAAAACCCTAAACCCTAAACCCTAAACACTCATCTTCACGCTACACCCAACAACACCAGCTCCGCATCCATCACCCATATACAGCCATTCTTTTACTTACGCCTAGCTAGCCAGATAGCTAGCTAGCTAGCTAGCGAGCTAGCTAGCTAGCTAGCTAGCTAGCTAGTTATCCAGCAAGCTAACTAACCACCGACCCAGCTAGCTAGCTAGCTAGCT